TTTGTTATCCCTTCTTAGCTGCAATGGGAGCAGACCCTGCATTGTCTCTGGCACTCAAGCCTGATGCTTGAAAATCTTTGCTGCTACAATCTGATTTTAATGCACCCTTAAATAGCTCGTGAAGGACTATTGCCATCTATTGGTGGAACACTTTTTTTCAGACCCCATTTTAGTCCTCACTAGGTAAGGACCTGCCTTTTAGAACTGTTGGCACACACTGATAGGCCTTGATATTATTAATATCTTTTTAATATAAATCTGCTTTTTAACAGGAAGTTTAATTCAGTCTTTAACATAAGGGAAGTGGACATATACTTGTTCTGGGTATCCCTATAATTCAGGTTCATTTCGCTGCATAATTTTTAAAATGTTGAGGTAAGGAAGAAAATTGAATTGAGAAGAAAAAGGCACAAGACTGTCAATGCAGTCAAGTGTCATTTTCTGCTGTACTTCATTTCCTCTATCTGACATGGTAATAGAAGGACAAGAATTTGTACAGTATGTCCTTTAACATACAGCTAGACTTATTTTAGGATACTATGAGACTACTTGGTCAAAGCCCTGTGTTACCTTTTTGAACCAAGATTCGTGAACTGCAAATCAAGGCTAGAAATTGATTCTGAGTGCATGTGAATGGTGGAAGCTTCTTGTCCTTCAATGCCGTGTTAAAATTATAACATCCCTTAGAAAAAAAGGCATGACAGAGCTTAAGATAGTGTCAAATTTTAAGGATGGAATGATTCAGATACACTTCTCAGGTGGAGTAAAGCCTAAAAATGTCAAATAGTGATGCCTGTCTTCTAATTCTGGAGAGTGCTGTTTGTTTTATGAGAAAGACAGCAGATCATGCTGTCTTCAAGTGAATGTATCTGCATGAAATTTTGGGCCAGAGTCTGTTTTACTTTAGTTTGAATTCATACAAATGGAACCTTACATGAATATTCAAGGAGTGAACTCTGCCAAATCTTGCTGGACCAGCTGGAATGGTATTTTCTCCTATACAGCTCAGCCCGCTGTCCATTGGACCCTGCTGTCAGAGGCTGCTGTTTCCACAGGAAAAGCAAAAGAGTGGCTTAACTGTACCTTGCCACTGAAGTTAACACCTGCAGTTCAAGATTTACATCATTAATTGTGGTGGTTTTTGCTGAGATGCCAGGTTAGATAAGCTGTGACAGCTGATGCACAGACACACTGGGCATTCTCATCTCATTTTCCTCCTCCAGTTTACATAAAACCACTGTGCCTCTGCCAGGAATTATTTCCATTGGAGGAGTCAGGAACTCTATCAGCTGCTCCATCAAGATTCACTGAGCTCATCTGCAAGGGCTGTGAGTCTGACTCTTGGATGCCCCGTAAAGAGTCATTTTGCTGCATGGCCTAAATGTACCATCTGTTTTATCTCTGTCAGTAAAATGGGGCTAGCTATATTTATTCACTCAGTGACATTCTGGAAGATTCTTAAAAGGTCTGAAAGAATTGCGGACTTAGGTCTACTGGTCATCACACAGATACACAGATAACCACAACTGAATTTGGAGTTGTATTTAAATTATGGAAACTGGAATACTTAAACCCCCCCCACCACTAAGAATTAGAGTATAGGAACTAGTACAAGGCACACAGAACTCAATTTATTCTGTAAATAAACGACTGCCAACGACTAATGACTTAGGATCTGATGACCTTTCCCTAAAGCAGCTCTTGATAACAGGGGAGAAGGGATTTTCCACTTCATTAGAAATTGGATTGCATCCAAGGAATTTCGGAGCTCTTTCCTTTGAAGGAGCAAGCAGCACAAGTAGCCATTACAAAAATGGAAGGCAGGAACAGTGGACAGTGTTTTGTATGCAATCTCTGGAGGAAAAGTGTCTCAAGACACCAAAGAAATTCCCATCCCTGAAGAATACTGTTGCCCTTCTCTGTCCACACACACTGAGAGTAGAGCAGCATTTGAAATGAAAGATCCCTTTCTAGTAAACTGCTTGGACCTTTTTTCCTTTGAATTTAATGTTAGGTATATGAAAAGATGAAATAAACCTACAGGGAACTGAATTTGTTTCTCTAAGGCCTGATGTAACAGATAGGGGGTTAAGGCCACCTTGACTGTGCTCCTCTGTACATGCTCTGCGTTATTTCATCCTTAGGTGTATAACTGAAGGGAATGGCAAATTCTTGTCTTTCTGATGGTTGTAACTGCAGTTATCAAAATGAGAGATTATAAATGGGACAGTTGTGTATTCAATTATGACCCTGTTAGTCTCAGTGAAGAACGAACTCTCCCGTGTTAAA